AAAGGCACAGCCCAGCTCTCGAAGGATGAAAATTGCCTGGTACTTGGTGCTTCTCAGAGATGTGCCTGGATAATCTGGCAGAAAAAGGCCATCAGCAAGGAGTATCCATGACCCATTCCATTCTTGTACCTGGCACTGTTGGGATGACAGAAGAAGTGGCAGCCACTTCTCTAAGGGAGAGAAAATGCCCGTGCTTGAAGCATGCAGAGGAAACTGACCCCTAAGTGCAAGACGGCGTGCTCTGCCCTGCGTGCACACAAACACACACACGAATCCTGAGAGCAGGGCCCTGTTCTACTGCCTGACAGTTCTACCACTTCACCCAGCTTCTCCTCCATCCCGGAAGCTTTTCCTTTGCCTCAGGCTGCCCAGCCACCTGACCCGACCCCCCCCCCCACTCCTCCCACCTCCCATCCCTCCTCTGAGACCTCGAGCTAGCTCTCCTTTATGAGCTCTCTCTTCTGAACTTTCAATCTTCCTCACTGGCTCCTTTTCCATATCTTTTAAACATTCCAAAGAACCCCTAGCCTGAGAAACCTTCTTCTCAAGTTACTGATCCAACTTATGCCTTCTCTTTACGGCCAATGTCATTTTTGAGAAGGCGACATTTGATGTGTCCACTAGCCCCTCTGCTGCCATGCCTCCACCCCTGCATTTCACTTCTGCCATGACCACCTCATTGAATGGCTCTCGCATACTCATGCTGCTCTTGGGAGGTAGATGGCCTCCAAGTGTTGGTCTGGACATCCGTTATTCATTTTCTGTGGGTGATCCCCAGTACCTCTGGCTGGTGACTCCCAGATGCAGGTTCCCAATCTTGACCCAAATCCTGGGACACAGAGACTGTATTCCCAACCACTTCCCCAGCAACAAGTCCACCTGGCCATCCCTTGACGACCTTAAACTCAACATACCCTGGACAGACTCCTCCTCATCCTCCTCAAGCCAACCTCTTTCCCAATCTGTGTGACAATTTATGTCATCACCTTATATCCATCTAGCAGGCAGCCTTCAAGCTAGAAGCTCAGGATTCTTTCAGATGCCTTCTTCTTCTTCATGTTTCCTATCTAACTGCTTCCTGATCATCTCTAAAATTGGTTCCCTCTTGTCATTCCATCCCTGATCCTCAAAGTCCAGCTCGCCCACCCACGTACTTTGTCCTGGCTGGCCTCCAAATCTGTGAGTGACAGTGATTTTAGGCAAGAGCCCAGCCCCCTCCTCATAGTTCTCAACTCTCTGCTTCCTGATGCTTGCCCTGTGACCCCACTTGCTTTTCCATTTCTGGCCACTGGGCTTCATTGGTTTTAGATTTCCATGTAATTTCCCGTTATGATTCTCCACCTGGCATGTACCTCTGGTTTGAGTTTAAGGTCACACCCACTGTCTCTTGGAAGAACATCCTAGTCCGTTCCTACTTTTGTGAACCCCACTGGCCAGGCCAGCCCCAAGGCTCCTACCTCTGCTTCCACAGTAATGTGATTATATATGCACTTGTTTCTCACACTGGACTTTTAAGTTTCTTGAGAACACGGACATAATTTACTTGCCTTTGAATTCCATTTCAGGCACAGTGTAGGATTATTAAAATGGAAAGAGTGTGGCACACACAGGAAATGTGTAGAAAGGATTCAGGGCCATACGTGTCCTGTAGGAATCCAGGGGGAAGGAGGGACTGTTGTGGACTGAATCAGTACAGGAAGCTGAACCCCAAACTGAACACAGATGTTGTAATTATATGCCCGAAAAACAGGAAAGTGCTGGTTACTCTGATGAAGCCTGTCTTTTCATTCCTTCCAGTGCCCTGAATTCTTCACTTACTCTGTTACCTTTTTTTAATGCGCTGGGATTACTACTGCCTAAAACACCAAGAAGAGCTGTCCAGGATGTCATGAGAGGCATGGTACAGCCAACATGAAGTCATGGGCCTACAAAGTCTCTGCGCGTCAGGGCCAGGAGTTTGGGAGGCCCTCTTCTGTTTACTTGGACCAAGGGAAACTTGGAGCTCTCCTTGGCCCCAGAGTAGCTCCGGAATCAGAAGTGTTCATCATTCCTATGAGCACATATCCAGGGGGTGTTTGATCATGAGTTCTCCCGCGAGCCAACTCTCCAGCCAAGTGTGAACAGTCCTTGTAGAATTCTGGCCGACACTCCAGGGCCCTGTTAGGTTTTTCCAAAGAAGCATCCTAGGCGTTCTCATTGGTTTCTCCATTTATTGCTTCCTGTCATGCTATCCTGTGATTGGAATACTGCTGTCCTTAAGGCTGTGTCCCTTTGGTACCATGAGCTCAATTCTGTTCCCTGTCTTCCTGGCCTCAGCCCCAGCCAACCCCCTTGGCTGAGAGATCAGTGGACTGTATTGCAGCATCTGCCTGGATTGTGGTTTTTCCTAAGATCTTCCTCGAGGCTGTTCATCACAAACACAAGAGTCGTGTGTATGGTCCATGCTCCATTATTACTTCTCTGGAGGGCACTATTTGGACCCACCTCATACTGAAGGAAAATCCAGCCCCTAAGAAGGAGTTGGGCTGTGCTAGCAATATGTTCAAGATGACTTTTGAGAGCCTGTCGCCTTTAATCTTTCCTCTCCTTTTGGCTACTCACTCTTACCTCCTCGCCCTCCCAGATGTTCCAGAGTTACTGCCAGAGATGACTTGCTATCCAGCGCGAAGCTGTGCCAGCATGGAGAAACCTGGCCAATCTAACAAGTTGGTGCCCAAGAGAAAGCGTGTCTTAACCCCTGACCCTCTCCAGCACGGTGTCTCCCTTAGAAGATGCTTGTGTCCTCAGTATTTCACTGACGTCTTAAGCTTGCCCCAGCTGTGTTTGCAGACCAAGTAACCCAGTAGTTGCTCACTGGTCTTATTCATGGTCAGCTTGTAAGCTATCACAAAGATCTTCTTCTGGTTCCCTTGGTTCCTGGAATGTTTTGATGAGCTCTGTGCAAAAGCAATTTGGTCAGATCATCGTATATTAACATGCACATTCAAACTAAGGAACCAAAAAATCCAAGTCATAATATGGTCACTCATCCTTTGAGATTTCCAAACCCAAATGAAGGCCCTGGGTCTCAGGGATACACAGAAAGAAACAATGGAATGAACAAATACACAAGCAAATAAATAAAGGAAAACGTTCTAAAATCCTAGAAAGCTGCTGTGTCTTTTACCCATTGATGCACATCCATGTAAATGCCTTCTCTTCTTGCCCGATCCAACCTTGTCTCCAGCAACAGATAGATGGTAGATGGATAGACAGATCCAAAGGAAATAACTGTGTCACTCTTCACATTGTGAAGAGCCTCGTTTTACCACATATATAGAATGGCCTGGAATTTCTACCATCTATGTTGATAACATCACCAACTATCACCTTGTATAAATCACAGGATACATCAGTCCCTTGGCAAATGTTTCCAAGTGTGATTTATATACAGTGTCACCAGTGTGGCATCAGGCTTGCTGATATTTTTAAACCAATCGAGCCTTGGTCACCTTGAAGAATGCTTTTTTCTTTTTCCCCCCAGCTGTTTGGTCCATCCTGACCCTTCCTCTCCAGTCCCACGGGCTTTGAGCTCCCTGCTCAGTCTGGTCAGGGCCAGGGGACCCTTTGCCACTCTGTTTGGTGCAGGTCAGCTGACCCTTCACTCCCTCTTGTTTCTATACTGTCTTCTAGCTTCAGAGAGGGGCTCCCCTGAGAATCAGCCGTATGCCGTTTGCACATGGCGGGGCCTGGAACTCTCGACAAAGCACTTTCTATAAACCACCGTGAGAGAGGGCAAAAATAACAATAATAAATAATGCCTCTGAGTCAGCCATTAACCTCTGCCGATGCCGCCTCTGTGTCCGCTGTCACATGTTAACGATGTCACCTAGAATCCCTGATGCAGCCACCTAAGGTTCTGTGGTGTCCCTTCCCCTACAGCAGTGCCGATGAACGCTCCTCCTTCACAGCACATCTGTCCTGTTCCGTGTGGCCGGGCCTGTTTCAGAACTGTCCCCAGGACTTTTATTCCCATTACTGTCTCCATGAAAACTTCCAAATCCTAGATCTCCCTTCCGTCTTTGCTGTAAGCCACAACATTTACTGTTTGGCAATGCACTGCTTTTGCTAGCATGTGCCTTCAGGTCAGAACTCAGTGCTCTGGATTGTTTAAATCTCTGGGTTGAGTTTGTCTTGGGAAACCTCCCTCCTCCCCACCCCCACCTCCTCCCAAACGCCCCAGGGCGCAGCCCTGCAGGGGACTGTCTGCAAAGGTGAATGGGCTATTTCTCGAACCCGAACCTCTCTCTTCTCCCAGCCCTTGCGCTGGCTTTGCTAGACTGCCATGGCTTATTGCGACATTCTTCTCTCTCTGTGGCCTTGCCCTGGCCATGGCAATGAGTGCATACCAGGGACTCTCCTGCAAGTGATGGTGGCCAAGTCTCCCCCCTCCCCATGCCGCCTGTCACTTTGGTGAGCTGAGGAGCACAAGCCAAACCAAACCCAGACCTCCTCTGCAGCCTGCAGTCAAAACCACCACTCTGTTCCAGAGTATAATTTCATTATTTAGCTTCTGGGCTTTCTCTGGCTCTAGAGTCTATCTTGAAACATAAATAGAGAAAGGCGTGGGGCTGCCTCATGCTTCTCTGGAATGCCACGTACTTCGTCATGTGGTTTCTCAGCCTCTGGGTTGAGAGGTCCTCAAAACAGTTCTCCCCTCATTTTATTCATTGTGCGTCTCGCAGTATTTGGTCAACTAGCGTGAGTCTGGTCACCCCCGCTGGGAACACACTACACTAGAAGTCGCAGACACACCAGAGGGTGAGTGTCAGTGTGGGAGCAGAGCATTGTGGGCCCCTGAGGCGGAGGGTGAGAACTTCTTCACAAAGGTGGTGACGTTCGACGTGGCTCTTCAAGGGGGACTCAGTATTTCACACTGAAAGGTCAATGACTGTCCTGGCGGAAGAGGGGTGGGAGGGCACGGGGCCTCGGGGGCTCTGACAACATCGGCGTCAGGTGGAGGTCTGTGCGACCAGCGGGCTATGATGGGCTTGGCCATCAGTGAGGAAGTCTGAGGCCGCCGGTAGGTCCCCACGCGCTCACTAAAGAATTTAGACCTTGTCCCAGGGATTAGCCAGAGTCACTGAAGGTGTTGAAGCAGAGCAGGGTAGGAAGTATGGATCAGAGAGCCCAAGACGAGGGCCGGGAGACAAGCCGTGATGATGGTCTCTGGGCCGGAGAGAGTGGGGAGGCTGGCTTTGTGGGGACACAGAGGAAGGTGACATTTCTGTGACGGAGGTCAACCAAATCCAGACATCTGTTGAGTATAGCGAGAGAAAATGAGGAAAGCATTGGGAATCATGCGGAGATTTTGAATCTGAGAGACTAGAATCAGGAGGTAAGGTCGGACGAGGGCAGGAGTGGGGGCAGGGATGGGACGGAAGTGAGACTGTGGCGGCTTCCGGAAGGTGAGGAAGAGGAGGCAGCAAGTATGGGTGAGTCCTTCATGAAGTTTAGTGGTGAAGAGGAAAAGGGAGGGAGACTCTGAGGGCTAAAGCATTTCTCTAAAATAGGGGAAAGAGCATTTCTGTGAGGAGAGGGGAGGACAGTGGAGAAGGGGAGACTGAAGTGAGCGGCAGAACTGCCATTTATTGAGTGGATCCCGGGAGTCATCCGTGTGTCACACACTGAACACGCATGTGGCATGTCAGGGTCACACTGACCCAGGGAGGTAGGTGTAATCATGCCCATTTTCCAAATGAGGAAACCACCAACCAGTGGATTTCCCCAGGGGTGGGGACTGGCTGAGCAGTGGAACTAGAGAGCATGTTGTGGTGGGGGAGGCGCTCGAGGGCCCAGGAAGGTCTCCCTTTTAGCTTTGGGACTTGGAGCTGTCCATCAGTTCTGGCCAGTGGCCAAGACCAGACGCAAGGGTGTGGGGTTAGATGGCTCGTTCCTGTGAGCTTTGCAGTTACCTAGCATGAGCCAGCTGCAGCGGCTCTCTGCAGGGGTGGAGAGGCTCTCTCTCTGCTTTTCCGCTTCTCAGACCTCTCTGAACATCATATTCAGGAGCGTATGTTTCCCACAGAGCTTGATGTGTGCCAGAAATACCCCGTGTGCCCGTTGCCTTTGTTTTTCACCACTGTCGCTGGAAGAGTCCGTTTTGCCTTCTGCCTGCCCATCTTCGTGAAGCATTGAACTTCAGGAGAGCTACAGCCCACATTTTGCCTCAAAGATTTCTTCTTTGCTTTCTCCCAGTTACCAGGTTGAACCCTAAGCTGATGTTTAGTTTACCTATGGTAATGAGGGATAGGGAACAGCCTTGTGTAATTAAAATCTGAAGATAAGCCCAAAACCATTTTACCCAGTACATCCTTCCCCACCGAGTCTCTGTGCCCATGTTGCTAACAAATAGCAACCTGGCTAATCTGAGGTTCGCCAGTTCTTTATGTGGTGTGTCTCCCCTTGTATAACAGGTTGTGATGAAGCCTTTCAGTCAGTCCAAGGCACCCGAGCTCACTTCCTGGGTCCTTCAAAGGAGGGCGTCTTGGACTTGGGCGGCCAGCTTGACAGATGGCAATAAATCAAAGCTTGCACCTCTTGCTCACGTAGCTCTCTGCTGATGCTGGACAAACACACCTGCCGTCTACCATCAACGTCTAGTGGACTAACTGAATGAATGAATAAGTTTCTAGGCCATCCATTAAAGAAATTTCTGGAACTCATCCGATGCGAAAGACAATTACTATAAAGATTTCCGTGAAGGTGCAGGAGCTCACTACTCTCAATCCCCCTTCCATTTACAATTTGATCACGGAAGACACAAACATAGTCCAATAAGTTACATTTGGGGGAAGATTCACCAAAAAAAGATAGAGTTTATCTGGGATTACATATAAAATTATACTCCTAGGTTTTTCTTTTTAACACTTTCCCAAGTACTATGGTGCAGACTCACAGAGTGAATTTATACTATCATACAGTCAATTCACTTTATCCATAAGGAGCATTAAGCCCAATGAGGATCAAAGACTTGCCTAAACTCTTAGTGAAAGATTGTTCAGAACCAAAATCCATTCAGAGGATCTTAAATTTAAGAGAGGGCTTATTACAGGGATCCCTGGATAGCTCAGTAGGTTAAGCGTCTGACTCTTGGTTTGGCTCAGGTCATGATTTCAGGGTTGTGAGACGGAGTCCCATGTCAGGCTCTGTGCTGAGTACGGAGTCTGCTTGGGATTTTCTCTCTCCCTCTCTCTCTGCCCCTCCCCCTGCTCAAGCATCAACTTTTTAAAAATTTTAAGAGGGTTTGTTACAGAGAAACCTAATGGAAATTAATTGAAAGAGGTTTAGTGAGACCTTGTGGAAACTGACCAGTCCTTGATTAATTCCTCTGACTACCTCCATGGGTCCTTCTGGATTCTTCTCTCTGCTTCCAGAAGCCTCCTTTATGTCCTCTGAAGATTGGCTTTTCTGCTATCCCCTGATCATCCCAAAAGACAGAGTATCTTCCATGCCACCATGACCTTCTAGCTCGGCTTCTCCAGCTGGGCAAGGATCTCCTCAATTGACCCAGCTTGGATCAGATGCCCATCACCCTGGTAAGGAGTGAGATATCCCCCAAGGAGTTGACAAAGGCTTGTGAGTGCAATCACAAGCAAGGAAGGGAGTGATAGCCTTGCTTGATCGCTCCCTGGTCAGGTGCCATCCAAAGATGTACAGTTGACACATTTTAAGAATAATCCAGGGAAGCCTAAGTGTCCATCAACAGATGAATGGATCAAGAAGATGTGGTTTATCTATACCATGGAATACTGCATGGCAATGAGAAACAATGAAATCTGGCCATGTGTAGCAACATGGATGGACCTTGAGGGTGTTATGCTGAGCGAAATAAGTCAGGCAGAGAAGGACAAATATCATATGTTTGCACGTATAGGAGGATTAGGAGGAACTTGACGGAGGAGCAAGGGGGAGAAGAAGGGCGGAAATGGTGGGGGAAAGGGAGAGAGGCAAACCATGAGAGACTCTTGAATGCTGACAAACACTGAGGACTGATGGATGTGGGGGGGAGGGGGGAGGGGCATGGAGGAGGACACTTGTGGGGATGAGCACTGAGTGTTATGTGGAAACTAATTTGACAATAAACTATTTGTAAAAAAAAAATTTAAAAAAAACTATAAGAGAGAGAAAAAAAACAAAGAATAATCCAGGGACACCTGGGTGGCTCAGTTGGTTAAGGGTCTGACTTCAGCTCAGGTCATGATCTCATGGTCTGTGAGTTCGAGCTCCACGTCATGTTCTATGTTGACTGCTCAGAGCCTGGAGCCTGCTTTAGATTCTGTGTCATCCTCTCTTTATGCACTCTGTCTCTCTCTCTCTCAAAAATAAATACTTAAAAATAGGGAGAATAACGAGACAACGAAGAGACAACGAAGAGCACAGCCAGAAAAATGTGGCAGTGAAAGAAAGGGCTTGAAAATTTTGTCACAGAAGAAATGACTGGAGGGACTTGGTACATATAGCCTTGAAGAAGGAAGATTTAAAAGAGATGCAATTCTTTTGTCCAAATATTTGAAGGGCTGGCTTCAGTTTTGAAAGTATTCTGTCTGTGTATGTTTGCAGAGGTCCAGAACTAGTTAACCGACGGGTAAAAATTAAAAGGAGGTAGAGTTTGCTTAAAATTAGGGTCAACATTCTTCCCAATAGAGTTTTCTGGAAATAGGCTGGCCTGTCACGTTTGAGAAGAGATGGGATGATCGCTTGTAAGAAAAACTGTGGAAAAGCTCATAATAGGAATTAAGAGTCGTGTAAAGTTTATTTCAGTTCTGGAATTCTATGGCCCTGCTGCAGGCACATCTGGGTGGCTGGAATCATTGCTGTCACAGGAGTGAAGGCCACTGTGTGTGGTCAATTGGATGGGAGGTATTGGCTGATGCTAAGTGGCCGCAACCCCCCAGAAATGGCAGGTTGCCCTGATCTCCCTTTGGATCCTTTCTATTCTGGGCCTTCTCAGATGTGTTTGAGACAAGCCATCTCAGCTGAGATGCTTGGAGTCATTCATGCCTCCTGACCACCTGCAAGGTCACCATCTGCAGGAGTGGCCGGGGGTTGGGGGAGTAGGTGGGCGGTGTGGAAGGTGGGGCAGGCTGCCCTTCACCCATTGAGTGCTCAAGATATGAAATCGACACCGAGGGGAATGCTTCAGACGTAGCTCATTTGCTTGTAGAGATCAGAAGCCTGTTCGAAGTAGCAGGTTTTAGAAAGAATAAGGGAAAAGTGTAAAGGGACACATTTCAAGGATATAAAAACAGGTATTGCAGCAAACCAAGGAAAGCTGAGCCCCAGGACTCTGGGAAGGGCCAAGCTTTAAGGCCATGGGAACACCACAGCAAGAGTTCACCTCCTTTACATCAGCACCCTGCCGATAGACATACGATGCCAAGCCTCTGCTCCCGGGGGCTTGAGAAAATCGACCTGGTCATCCAGCACAGAGAAAACCAGGGCCCTGAGCAACCCAGCACACTGTGCACTCAACCAGTCCATACTAACATGGAATTCACACTTTTATGGTTTTAACTTCTCTCCTCTTCCTCCATGGTGCCTTTCTCTACGTATCTACCAAGTAATATGACTCCCAATGGATTCAGCCATCCCCAGATACTCGGTCAGCGTGCCTGCTAGCCCAGTGCCTGTGTACAATTCCAAAGAGTTTGGCCAAGGAGATTGACAATCTGGCCTTGATTACTCCTTCTAATTAACTCATTCATGAGTACATTTAACAAATAATTATCAAGTGCTTAATTGTCAGCATAGCTCTCTGCTAGAAACAAACAGGTATAATCTATGGTTCATATCCTCAGGCAGCTCGTTTCCTATCTGGGAAACTAAGACATACGCCCTTAAGCAAATAAGTCCAGTTTCAGGTAATTCCTGAGCATCTCAGAACTATGTGGGTTGAACCAACCTTGTGCTAAAAGAAGTGAGGTCCAACTAATTCAGCACGGTGTGCCAGCTAAGTGAAATCCCAGTGTCTTCCTTCAGCATTGACAGAATCACTCTCTCTGTGGCACTTAACTATAGAGACTTTGAAGTCTTCCGCAATTTATTACACTGAGTCCAAATAAGCAACTTGTAGAATAAAGATTGAGCTCCAGGAAAGATCGGGTACAATCCGGTTAATGGGTGCTGTGCAAGGACAGCCTCTTCCCACGTTCTCCATGCTGCCTGCTATTTCTAGGGAATGATCTTAACCATCCTCGTCAGCTAGCGCAGGACTCAGTGTAAGATTGTCTCCGATCGTCATTGGCCGCAGGACATGGGAGCATCAAGATGGAGCCTCGCACAGACCCTCAGAGCTATAGGAAAGAGAAGCTTCTAGGTGGAATATTTATTTTTTAAGTTTATTTATTTATTGAGAGAGAGAGAGTATACGTGCACATGCATGCGTCGGGGAGAGGCAGAGAGAGCAGGAGAGAGAATCCCGATCACTGTCAGCACGGAGCCCAATGTGGGGCTTGATCTCACGAACTGTTAGATCACGTAGGCGGAATGTTTCCAAACGAGAAAATTACAGGCATGTCTTCGTTGTTTCCATTGTTTTAATTTGTATTTTTAGAAATGGGATTACAAAAGGCACTTTTCCTGGCCCCTTGGAACAGAACTCTTGTGTCCCCCCCCCTCCCCCCCCCCAGCCTTGCCAGGCTGGCCAGCCAGCTCAGCCCCCATGCCTGGCCTCTGCCTTTTACAAAGTGGCCGCTTACTAAGTGGTCCTTCTCTCTTTATCCTCAGTTCATAGTATATCAGCAAGCACTGGTGAGGCTTGCTCTGAGTAGGGCCGAGGCTGAGTGCCATGGGGTAGCCAAAAATAAGAGCCAGCCTACCCTCCGCAAGCTTGAGAGGGAAAAATATGACGTACAGAACAGCTCTAACACAGACAAACTCGTGCTGGAATTTGGATTGAAAGTATATGAAACGTGTTAACTCAAGGGAACATTGATATCTTTCAAAGAAGAAAAAGTCAGGAGATCTAGATAAAAATGGGGGCGGCGGATATGAAGATACAATTCATACTAAAGGAAATCCAAATCCAAGGTAATGGCCTCACGAGAAATAAGAGAAACAGCAATCAAGACAATAATGAGATCCCAGGTTGCATCCATCATATTGGGAGAAAGTATGAAACTGAATAAGGCTAGTTGTTGTTGAAGTTTGAATAAATAGGAGCTTTTTCTCTCTTTTCTTAAAGACTATATTTTGCTTTTTAATTTTTAATGTTTATTTATTTTTTGAGAGACAGAGACAGAGCATGAGTGAGGAAGGACAGAGAGAGAGGGAGACACAAAGTCCGAAGCAAGCTCCTGGCTCAGCTGTCAGCACAGAGCCCAACACGGGGCTCGAACCCATTATCCTGAGATCATGACCTGAGCCAAAGTCGGATGCTCAACCGACTGAGCCACCCAGGCGCCCCTTTTAAGGTTTTATTTTTAAGCAATCTCTACACCCAAGTGGGGCGCGAACTCACAGCTCTGAGATCAAGACTTGCGTTCTCTAACTGAGACAGCCAGACGTCTCAAGAAATAGAAATGTTCATGAAATGGGTGCGGACAATCCAGGGAGCAGTCTGGCAGCATTCATTGAGTCCCATAACTGGGCACAAAACCCAGATAAATCCTGATTATAATAGAATATGTTCAAGGATATCTGCCCAGTGTTATTTGTGGTAGTG